TTGTGTTACTCCTCGTTGTAACATATACTCGAGTATCGTCTCTTGTTTCTAATTGTCTCATTAATTCTTCTTCATTAGCCGGACTTAATTTCTTTGATACATTTTCGTCGTTGCTGAGCGGTATAAGAGCTTTTAAAGTATTGGTATCAATCTTGATTCTAGATAGTGCATCTGCATTTGTGTTTATCTTTCCTTTTTTGTATATAATTTCAAAATCATATTCTGACAAGTCTATTCTTATTCTTGTCATTTTGGATGAGGGGTTCTTATGTACGAATAGGGAAATTAGGGGTCTATGGTCTGTTATAACAAGAAAACGTTTGCCATAAACATATGGGCGAAAATAATTGATTGCCCAATGTATCGCTAGCAATTCCTTCTCTATAATTGGCTTATTTAAGTCGTGTTTTTGGAGAGCTTTGCTTGCATAACAAATTGGAAGGTCAGATCCAATCTCACCTTGTGAGAGTACAGCACCTAATGCATAATCAGATGCATCAGTGGTAATTATAAATGGTTTATTGAAATCGGGGTACTTGAGTACTGGTGGGTTTATTAGTTTTGATTTTAAGTTTTCAAATGCTTTATCACAATCTGAATTCCATTCAAACTTCTGGTTTTTCTTTAGTAAACGATTTAAAGGTTTTGCAATGTTTGCAAAATTGCTTATGAATCTACGGTAATAATTACAGAAAGCTACATATCTTCGTACTTCATCAGTAGTTGTGGGTTTTGGGTAGTTCATTATGACTTGATGTTTGGCCGGATCAGTTTTTATTCCGTGCTCTGTTATCAAATGACCTAAGTAAGTAACTTCATGCTTTAAAAAGTTACACTTGTCTGGATTTAATTTAAGATTGTATTCATTTAGTCTCTCAAAAACTTTCTCTAGATTTATATTATGATGTTTCAAACTATTTCCAAAAATTATTATATCATCTACATATAAAAATGCTTCCGTTTCCAAACCTGTTAATGCTAATGTTAACATTCGTTGGAAGCTGTTAGAGCTAATCTTTAATCCGAAAGGTAGTCTTTTAAATTCGTAATGACCATCATTTGTTGAAAAGGCGGTTTTTTGTCTCGAAGAGGCGTCAATTGGTATTTGATGAAATGAGCTGGTCATATCTAAAGTGGAAAAATACCTAGCTCTTCCAAGCTTATCGAGAACATCCTCCAAACGTGTTAAAGGAAATTTGTCGTTGACTATCCTTTCATTGAGTTTTCTGTAATCAATGACGAGTCTCCAATTCTTGTTATCGTTTGTTGATTTCTTAGGAACAAGCAAGATTGGTGAATTGTAGGGGCTTTTTGACGGTTGTATTATATCGTCTTGTAATAGTTTTTGAACTTGTGTTTTTATATCATCATTATGACAATGTGGTAATCGGTAATTTTTAATGTATATTGGATTATTGTCAGTTGTAGAGATGTGTTCTGTATAAAAATTGTTTGTAGATAATGGTTCTGATTCGAGCTGAAAAATGTGTTGGTATTTTGAAATTAATGGAATTAGTGTTAGTGCATCCTCTTTCAGCTGTACCTTGTCAAGAATTTTAGCTAATCTTTGTTCAGTATAAATTTTTGATTTGTTATTTATACAGTAATAGTTATACAAAGGTTGTGACTCAATTTTTAAATCAGTTATGTTGATATCTGATTCGTTTGTATTTATCACATTTATGTGGCAAATTCCGTTTGCTGGTACTATGGTATTGGCCATGTACACTCCTTTGTTGATTTCGTTACTGAACAGAACAGTATCTGTATTAAAACGAATGTCTATAGGTAATATGTTTTGAGTTCTCGCTTTAACTGTAAATGTTTTAATTTTTATTGGAATTGTTGTGGACTGTAAGTCCGAAGTTACTGTTAGAGAAAATGTGTAGTAATCTATATTACATTTAAAATGTGTTAAAAAATCTCTACCTATTATTCCATCCACCTCAATTGGGAAGTTTGTATCGACTACTGAGAATATGTGATTTAGAAATAATCCATCAAAATTTAGGCTTAGCTTTGAAATACCTAAAGATAACTTGTGACCATCTGTAATACCAGTTAATAAGCAAGTTGTGCTAGAATCAAAATTTAAATTGTAGTTATTTTTTATAATAGACACATCAGAACCAGTGTCAATTAAAAGCTTTAAACTTTTATCAATAGTATTGCAAAATACCATTACATAATTTGATATATTAGGGTTTATATTGAAAATTTTTAATGATGTGCCAGAGGAGAATTCCCTAAGTTGTCCTCTGGTTCTGAGTAGTTTTCCTGGGCATTTAGTATCTGTACACGCCTGTTTTGGTTAGAGTTGAATTGACTCCTTGGATTCCGAGCTGTATTGTTGTATCCTGTTCTATTTCTATTCTCTCTATTGTTGGGGTACGCGTTGTTTCTGTTTCTATTGAAGTTTCTCCCATTATTGCTTCCATTTTAAGAATTGTTGTTAATTCTCTGGTTATATTGGAATCTATTTTGATTCATTCTATGTTTGTCGTATCTTCTTTGACTATGAAAACGTTATTGGGTGAAAAAGACTTGTTGTTGCATTGGTATATGCATATTTTCTGCAAACAATCTAGCTTCTGTAAAGGTCTTTGGTTGAGCTGCCTGTACAGTTTGTGAATAAACAGTATTTAATCCCTTTTTAAATGCTAACAATGCTGTTTCATCATTTACTAAAAGTACGGCCTTTCCTTCCGGAGATGACTTCTTAAAATTATTCTTTAGTAATGTCGCATTGTTTAAATTCGCTAGAATGGTTGATATCTTTTCTGTATATTCGTGTATTTTCTGGTGAGGGCCTTGTTTTACTTCTGCTATCTTTTGGAGCAGTTGAGGTATGGTATCCTTTGATATGAAGTTCTTTTTTAGATTCTCTATTAGTTCAGGAAGTGAATCTGGAATTCCTACGGGGCTGACTTTGGCTCTTACTGAATGTTGTAACTTGCATTCTACTATGAAATCTAAAAATGCTTGTTTGTCAGAGTCACGTAGCTTGTCATGAATTATATTCAATCTATGTATAAAATTATTTAATTCTTCAACTTTACCGGTGAAAGTGGGTACTAGTTTTTCCACAATTTCGTAATTTAATTTTTCCATGTTTGTGCTTGTATCACTACTGTTTTCCTGGCTAACTATGTTTTCACTAGTAGACATACTTAATAAATATTGTTTAGTCAGGTTATATTTGTCGAAAAATGTTTCTGTTAATGAAGTTATTGTTTCAAACTTAGAAGTTGGGTAAATTGTTCTAACTTTACTTGACAGGTATTCTAATCTTTTTAATTTTTCGGATACTGTAGTTTTTGAATATCCTCTTGAAGCAGATTTTTTTTGCGTTTCTTTATATGATATGTATTTCAGATATACACTCAGATATAGTTTCCATTAACTAAACTAGTTGCTATTGTGTATTGGGGACATGAATATAGCTAACGATTTCTATGTACGATCTATTTTATATTAAATTGAACGAAGTGAACGATAATACTGACACAAGTGAACGAGGGACAGAGATAAAAGATAAAAGAACTTTTATTTATATATATATTTATTATTATATTAGTACATGGTTTAATATAATTAAAAGTTTTTAGTAATTTTTATTTTCATACATGTAAAGTAATTTTTATTTTCATACATTTTCATATATTTTATTTAATACTGTAATATAATATGTTACAGAAATATTATATAATTTTTACATAAAAAGGATATAATCTATTTCATCATTTTAAATTTTCAACATATTTTTAAACATTTGATGTTTGTTGTTGATGAACATGTTTGTGTACATAACTTTTGAAATATTTATTTATTCTAAATAGTACATATACAATACATATTATAATTATAAGTGTTATTATGGCTACCTGTTGTTCCGGCATGTTGACTTCTAGAATCTGGTTCTGGTTGTTGTTTACTGTGTTTGTGTCAGGTGCATCCGCGGAAAACCAACCCATGATGTTTCAGCTGCAGATGAAAATATTTTTCTTCTCTTTTTAAAATATATTTTAAAATATGCGTCGATAGTTGCAAGAAAAAATGTTTTATTCATACATGAACACACGCTTGTAGATCGTTGGATCTTTCAGTTAATTAATTAATTAATTCAGTTAATAAGTTAATTAATTCAGTTAATCAGTTAATTTCACATATTTCGCGGTTCACAATAACCTTTCACATCACATTTCACATTAATGTTCATTACTTCGAGTCATTAAGTATTAAATATTATAGTGTAGTTTTTAGTTTTATTCACATAATATTAGTTTTAATATGAAATTTTTTATACAATTTCTTTTTAAAATTCACTTTATATTCCTTTAAATGTATATATAAATTTAAATTTATTTATTAATGGTTCTTGCCATTGAGATTTGGCATAGTTCACTTAGTTTTTCTTAATTTTTATTTATTAATGGTCCTTGCCATCGAGATTTGGCAGGATCGCCATGTAAAGTTCTTTGGTTAAGAAAAGAAAGACGCGTCGTTTTGAGTGTCCAAAATAAGACTGATTTTTATTAATTTTTATTCTTAAGTCTAACATCGTTTAATACTAATTTCCAATAGAATCTTATGTATTGATTCTATTGGTTAATACTTATAATACTTGCGTCTAATTGGTTAACCCAAATTAGACGTATATACTATTCTTATAAACATAACTTATCAATAAATGGTGTACTATTAACTAATGCAAGTGTTCTACATATGGTTTCACTTGAAACCGTTTATTCTATTGACACAGTTTTGACTTATGCATATTGCACATATGGTGCAATGTGCGGCTCAGTTATTTGTCATCAAAGTAATGACAAAATAAAGGCTCATATTACCTGACAATAGTTTGTCATAAATTTTATCAAAATAGAACTGTGTCAATGTTTACTTTAAAATATTTGGAACAATTGAATGTTTTGTGATATGTGTGGTCTCATATCACATTACAATCTACATACGCACCTCTTGATATTATATCCGCTGGGTTAGACTTTGAAGGAACATGCCGCCAAATACACGTTTTTGTCTGCTCTTGAATCAATGATACCCGGTTGGCAATAAATGTGTTCCAATTTGATGGGTGCTCGCTCAGCCAATCTAGCACAATTTCGGAATCCAATAGAAATTAGAAAATTGGATTTGGTTTTTGTCACTAGTTTCGACAGCAATTTCGCAGCCAAAAGTTCCAATTTTGGTAAAGATAAAGTTTTTAATGGCGTTACTCTGGATTTAGCACTCCACAACTGCATTGTAACGTCGTTGTCCACACATACTGAGCGGATATAAATACAACACCCGAAAGCTCTTTTTGATGCATCAGCAAATCCATGCATTTCAACTCTAGCAACTCGTTTTTCTGCCAAAACAAATCGAGGCACACTTATTTTCTTGACGTCTTTTAGATTTTCGCGGAATTCTATCCATTGACTATGTAAATTCATTGGTAGGGATTCATCCCAATTAGCCTTTAATATCCACAAATCTTGCATGAAAATCTTCGCCTTTACGATTAATGGGTTAATAAGCCCAAGGGGATCAAACAACTTAGATAGTTCCGACAACACTATTCTTTTTGTCACCGCTTTCGAGCTATCAAAATCTGGCCAAACGTATCGAAACGTATCTCCCACTGGAGCCCAGATGATAACAAGAGTTTTTATTATTTCCTCATCATTCATCCGAAGAGTCTTTTCTTTATCAGCTTCAGGTACGAAATTAAGAAATTTTTCACTATTTGAAAACCACTTCCTTAACTTAAATTTTGCTGAGTTCATTATTGCTGATACTTGATTATATATTTCAAAAATTTCATCTTCATCGTTTGATCCACTGATCAAATCATCCATATAAAAATCAGATAACACCTTTCTCGATCCAATCGGATATTTATCGATATAATCTTCACTTAACTGTTTTAAGCATCTTGTAGCTAAATAGGGGGCAGATGTTGTTCCATAAGTAATGGTTCGCAAGCGATAGCCCTTTATGTTTTCATCTGAGGAAGACCTCCACAAAATCGTTTGATAATTCGCATCATCATCAGTCACCCATGCTTGGCGATACATTTTTGTTACATCTGCCGTAATTGCATATTTGTAACATCTAAATCGCAGTATTATAGATAACAGGTCATCTTGAACCAGTGGTCCTTTCATCATTACCTCATTTAATGACAAGCCACTGTCAGTTTTACAGCTACAATCGAACACAACTCGAAGTTTCGTACTCGTGGAGTCTGGTCGTAGCACATACTGATGCGGTGCAAAATATTTTATCTTATCCATATCAGCTTCTTCAACGATCGTCATGTGACCTGAAGAGAGGTACTCATCCATAAATGCGTTGTAAGCGTCTCGTGTAGAGCGATTTCTACTCAATCTACGCTCTAGTGACAGCAACCGTCGTTTGGCAGCATTATAGGAACCACCCAAATCACTTACTGTTGTTTTAAATGGAATTTTCGTAGTAAATCGGCCAGATGTATCTCTACGAATTGATTCACGGAAAATTTTCTCGCATTCCTCTTCTTCTTCGGTTAAAAAATTTGATTTAGTTGAAATCTGTTCTATTTTCCAGAATTTTTCAACCAATTGACTCAAGTTTTCATTCTCATTATGGTTGTGATTGACCAGCATATTATTTATTTTATGACTAGGCGCTAAACATTCTTCTGCTTTGCCTGTAACTATCCACCCTAGTATGGATTTCTGTAGGGTTGGCAACCTTTCATTAAGATAAATTCGTCCAATCGACAACAAATCGAAGAAAATTTCCGCACCAATTAAAATATCTATACGCGCTGGCTTATTGAACATTGGATCAGTCATTTGAATATTTTTTGGTAAATTCCAGTCCGCAACATCGACATAACGATTAGGTTTGGAGCTTGTTATTTTCGGTAAAACATAAAATTGCAGACTGACTTCGAATTCATTTATTTTTGATTTGATGGTAGCCACAATTTTTGTTTTAAAGCTAGTTACAACGTCTCCAACACAGCTAGCATCTAATTTACAAGACGTTTTTTTTAATAACAGTTTTTGAGCAACTTTCTCACACATCAAATTTACTTGAGAGCCAGAATCTAATATGGCTCGCATTTGGTGATGTTTGCCAAACTTGTCCGCTACCATTACTACTGCTGTTGCCAAAAAAACCTCGTTTTCAGTCATTACGTTCATAACTGATGACTGAGCTGTCTCCTGTGTTGACGTAGATGGTCCATTTTTGCATCTTTGTTCATTTGGCTTCAAGATATAATCTTTATGTAAAAGTTGATGATGAGATAAATTACATTTCGAGCATTTAACAGCAAAGCATTCTTTTTGAAGGTGTCTCCTTTTCAAACATGTAAAACATACCTTTATTCTCCGTGCTACAATAAAGCATTCTTTTAACTTGCTACAATCTGCAATATCGTGGCCACTGCCATTGCAGACTTCACATAAAGGTTTTGTAACTGCAAGAGAGGTTGAGTAGTTGCGGTTATTTCTATACTCTTTTTGATAGTTTACAGCCTTTGAATTCACTTGATTAACTTTATGTTCCCTTGCATCAAGGTTCTCACATCGCCTCGTCAAAACCGCTGAACATTCATTCCAAGTTGACAGCTTCCTGTAATCCACTGATTCTTCCCATTTGACCTGCGAATCTTCGTCCACTCTTTCCATCACCAAATGAATTATTATGGCATTCGCTATATCTTTGTAATCACCTAATGATAGCATTGCATTCAAATGTGCATTCGTTGCATTTAATACATTTCTTAAATGAACTGCAGATGGTTTTGTTAATTTTGGGACAGCAAAGAGGGCTGTAATATGTTCCTCGAACATCAACGCCTTTTTATCGAAGCATTCCTTCAATCGATCGAGTGCTTTGGGGTAATTGTCCTCTGTGACATCAAAATCGTCAATAGCTGCCAGCGGCTTAGAGCCCAAGTGCTCTTTAAGTATCAAAAATTGTTCGCAGTCATCAAGCATTTCATCCTGGTTGATTAATTTATTAAACAAGGCTATAAATTTCGGAAATTCGCTATACTTCCCTTCAAATTTCGGTAATTTTACTTCCCGATGACTTCTTGGGCCCGGCAATAACGATGTTGTATTCGTTGCATTGACATCTACCAGTGATAGCTTTCTTTTTTTTTAGTAAACTCATTATTTTTGCTTTCGTGGCCACAAATGCATCTTCAACTTCTGCTGTAATTGCTTCGCTGAAGAAGTATCTGCACCTTGGTTTAGTTTATCGATATCTGCTTGCACACTCAGAAACTGTTTGAAGTAATTTTCTGTCAAACTACGCCTGTAGTTAAGTTCTTCTGTTGACAAACTTGACCCTTTTTTCAAAATCATTGATTTTATGCGAGTGATGTTGCCTTTGGTGCTGCCTCTCAACGCCTTCAATTCCGCCAGTTTCTTAGACCCTTTCGGCACGCCTTCTTGCTCCCCGTCGCTTTGTTCGTGAATTTTTGAGTCTAACATTTTGCAATTATATATTTTTTTTTTCTGGATCACTATCCCTTTTCTGGATCACTATCCCTATTATGGATCACTATCCCTTTTATGGATCACTATCCCGGGTTTCGGCACCAATGTTTTATTCAGTTAGTTTACTGATAACTTTTCTTCACGACTACTTTATTATTTCTCAAAAACACATGGCGCCTTTTCGCGTGTGCTTAAAGGCGACGACACAATACAAAAATGACAAATAAATTAAAGGCCATGATACAATAAATCTTAATTCTAAACAGTAGTGTTTATACAAAATTATTATATGTATGCATAATAAAATTATAAAGGGCATAATATTGAATTTATTATTATTTATTAAAGTATTGTAAAAATATAATATTAAGAATGCAGAAAGATCAAATTGCTTAAAAGATGAGGATGTTATACTGGAATTAGATTTCTGCTTAATACTAAAAAATATTCGTAGTTTGCAAGAAGTACATACCGAAAATCCTAATAGCGAACACGTTCTACTAACTTCGGAGGAGACACGCTGTACTAATTTGTGGAGACAATGAAGCGTACTCTTTCTATTCAGATAGAATTCCTATAGAATTGACTTCAACTCGATATTTTATTGATTATATTGCACGCCATCACAAATGTCAAAAATGTCGAATGAACACAATCAAATCAAATGAAATTTCGACTTATCCATCAGAGATGTTTATACACAACAAAAATTATAAGCTTAATAACGATTTTGGAAGATTGTGAAAAACTCAGATTTGAAACATAAATTCGCATCATGTTTTTACACAACACTTCAGAACAATTTCTAACAGGTAATTTTCTTTATATTGTGGAAGCATCACATAAAGATGAGAAAACACAAAAACATGGTGGCAGCATTACTAAAAAATAAGAATACATAATACATGATGGCAGCATTATGCGGTAGACATTTTTGATGCCAGTATATAAAAAGCGACGCTTGCTATAGTTTGGTTTTTCGGTGACAGCGCTCTTTTCATTAAAAATAAAATATTCGACAGCAACTCCGTAAGCTTATGTATTTAAATAATTTTGATTGTAATAATTGCAGAGACAAAAAAGTGCGTAATAAAAAGCTTTCCATAGTTAATCAAAAACTGCAAACTCGACTAAAAATATAATCTACATTATTCGACTATAAAGCGAAGTGGAAATACTTACTGTTATAAGAATAAGTTGTACAAAGTTTTAGTTGTTTTCTTAGCTTCAGTAATTGTATAAAAATAAATATTGTGTAACCATTAACGAAATAGCATTTGCACTAAAGGGGTGACCCCGACGTGATTGTGGTGTAAGAGTCTCTTCAACACGTTTCAAAAGTTCAACATTTGCCGAACTTTATCAATTTCGATTTAATTTGAAGTTAAAACATTTGAATTAAATTTAATTTTCATAAACAAAGGCTGTTGTTAGAGCTGTAGTAGAAAGGTAAAACTGCGAGCATCATACCCAAACAACATGTCTTTGCCAGCTGTCAACGAAACCGCAGCGGTGCAGCGAGAAACCGAGTTTCCAGTAGACAATCTGAACCGCATTTCAGTCAAAGCACTGCCATTTTGGCATGAACGGGAAGAAATCTGGTTAGCGCAAATCGAAGCGCAGTTTGCAATCGGAGCCATATTTAGCGACGTTACGAAATTCAAAACCGTCGTCACAGCAATCGAGTCCAGCGTCGTTGCTGATGTAGCTGATGCAGATTTACACCCTCCGGCAACAGGTAAATATAGTAACCTGAAGAATCAAATTAAAGAGCGGTCTGGCGAAAGTGAGCAACGAAAGATACAGCGGCTCCTCTCAGAAATCGAGCTAGGAGATCGCCGACCAACGCAACTATTGAATGAGCTGACAGCTTTATCGAAAGATAAAGTCAGTAAGGAGTTTCTGAAGTCTCTCTGGCTCCAATGTTTACCGCCGCAAGTACGTGCCATCTTACAGGCATCCAGCGTTGACCTGGTAGAGTTAGCTAAACTGGCCGACAGAATATCCGAAGCGGGAGACTACCACCAAATAGCTGCAGCAATGCCTAATGTGGGCGGCAGTTCAAACGAGACAGCCATGCTGTGCCACCGCTTAGATCAGATCGAACAGCGGTAAAGCCGATTGGATTTTCGTGGACGCCAGCCGTCGATAACTCAGCAGTCCTCACGCAGAAGGAGCCGAATGCGATCGCAGTCCTCAAATCACTCCGAATGGTGCTGGTTTCATAGCAGATTCGGAGAGCAAGCGCGCAGATGCTGTCAGCCATGTACGTATACCACTAACGCAAGGCCGAAAAACTAAGCTTGCCTCAATCGACGTCGAGCCGATTTGAGGACAGCGCTATAATAGCTAGACTTACAGTATAAGATCCGGCAATGTCAACTTCATTTCTTATCGATCTATCTGAACTGCCTAAAAAATACGGTCTCATCACATCACTAAAAAATACGTGAGCTCATCATATTCTACACCAACTGCATGTTCATCTATAAGCTGCAACTCAATAGTATTATCTAAGAACAATCAACATACAATCGTAGCGCTACAGACAATCACTTTTCATTAAATATCAACAACACGATACGACTTGTAACTATATTTGAATTAATAAAATTAATCGAAAACGACTAAAAGTATAATTCCCAAGAAGTTAGTACCAACAAATACTATTAAATTTATCAAAAATATTTTAAACGTTGCAATAAGATTGAAATATTTTTTTACAGTGTATAAAGTCGCTATCATAACCGCTATACCTAAACCACAGAAAAATGCTACTCAACCGACTTCCTATAGATCTATAAGTTTTTTGTCGAAACTTTCTAAAGTTTTTGAAAACATAATCTATGCTAGACTGGAACCAATACTAAAAGTAATTGGAGCCATACCAAACCATTAGTTTGGATTTCGGCGCAATCTTTCAACAATACAGCAAATCCTTAGAGTGGTAAACAAAATCCTAACAGAATTAGGCGAAGGTCGATTTGTATTCTTGATGATGAAATAGCCTTCAATAAAGTATGGCTTTTAGGGACTTTTACTCAATATAAAAAATGTTGCCTCATGACTTTTACGAACTCATTAAAAGTTATGTTACTGAACAATGCTTCTGTGTTTGATACGAGTGCTCTACAATCAGAAAGGTTGAAGGAAGCTTCCCCCAAGGAAGCGTATTGGGCCCCCTACTGTATCTTCTCAATACTTCAGATATTTCTGAATCATTAAGTTAAAACTTAATGCTAGCAACGTTCGCAGATGATACAGTACTACTTACCTCATATACAAACATCGTAGAAGCAACTTCAAAAATGCAACACACAATCATTACGACTAAAAAATGGTTTTACAATTTTTTTTTTATTCTCAATTTATAAATTATTTATTGAATCTTTTTATTTAGAAACTTACAATAAGTGGATTAAATCTTAAAACTAAATTTATTTTTTCTCTAGGCCATTGCTTTGGAGAAAACTATTGAGATATTAAATCATTTATAATAAATTAAGATTGAAAATTAAAATTAAAACTAAAATTAAATTAAAATTAAAATCAATTAAAAAATCACATTCAATTAAATCAAATATAATTTAAAATATTTTAAATTAAACAACAATTTAGAAAGTTAGCAGATATTAATTGTGTTCCTTGTTTTTAAACGTTTATGGCCTCTGTTCAGTTGCAGCTTGTAAGCTGATTAATTAGGGGGATCTTCTAACTTTTAAAGGTACTGACGGCTACATAAAATAGTTTCTGCCTATTTCTGTCTGAATTTTATTGTCACTGTTTTGTTTAGCAGGATTTTGTATGTTTTTATGTTCAATATTGATAGACTCATGTTTATAATTATTTGTTGCGTAATTTGGCGATTTTTGATTACAAACATTTTTCTGCAACATATTCTCTGCTACATGTTTTTCATATCTGTTCTGATGTGCAACATTTGTTAATGGAGAGTTTGGAAGTGAAGATCCACATTCAGCACATTTGACTGCGCATGCGCTGTAAGAAGAAGACACTTTTGCCTGCAGAAGAAGACGGCAATAAATTAGTACATTTATTTGTTTGTATACTTACTCCCTCAACACTTATTTATTTTCGCGCTCAGGGGCAGAAAGCTGAACATTCATTTTAGTCTCTTTTTAGTTTGGCGCAATCTGTTTGTTGTTTTATTTTGTATCGATATTAAAGACTGATATAATTCGAAATTCACTTCCAAGCTCAAACACAAGCATTGAAATTTTAAGCGTCTTTGTATGAGGATGCTATTTTTCAAATATTAGATTTAAATACAAAAAATATTTTTCAGAGCAAACAAAAACGGGTCCGAACACTGTGAAATTGTGAGAAAGCTCACGATTGGGAAATAAAAATCAACAAAAACTAAACAACACAAATAATATTTACAACGAAAACAAAATACAATTCGATATCTGTTTATATTTATTTTAATATAATTTAATAATTTTTTGTTACCGCATAAATATTTAGTTACATGTGTTTACATTTTATTTGGGCCAACACTGCAACCAGTCATTGATTAACGAAAAGTGCAATTCTGCATTATCAGCT